AGTGTCAGAGGTGTACAAATCTTAACTATTCAGATTCTTACCTTTACCTGGCATCATTTAAGAGAGGCAAACCAGATAATCACCTTCAAATTTTACTAGTTGCCTTTGGCAGGTAGGTGACCATACTAACAGACCCCAACTGCTTGTAATGAATGGCAGGTTCAGCTGCCCAGCTAAGGAACATCCCAGCAACAGGATCATTTTGGGTATGAAACCCTGCCACTGGAAATAAAGCCGAGTATCTGCAAAATTTCATTTTCCACAAGAAAAGTCATGGTCTCAGTAGGTTGATACTGCAATTTGTATTTCATATTAGCTCTCCCCAGTGCTCCACTTGGATTGTGCAGCAGGCACTGGAAGGACACACGTATTAGTGACTATTGGTCAAGAAAAATGAGGAGCATAACTCTTCTGGGCATTACTTTACTGCATTCATGAACAAACACCAACTCCGAAAGCTTTTTAAAGAAAGCTACAGACAGCTAGTAACTATCTGTAATTCCTAGGAAATATCATGGAGAAGTAAATTTATGGCCCTTCCTAGATGACAGGCATTAGGAGTTTGCACAGTGAGCTCTGTGGGAATTAAAGCTACGGGAAAGAACAGAGAGCTGCAAACTCCAGCTCAGTATCTCTACTTTTGAATGATCCCAAAGAAGCTAAATAAAGCCATCCTTTGACAAAACAAAACAAAGGCTCTCATTGCTATTCTAACTTAATGGTAGCACAGTATACAGAAAGCATCAGTTACAGTGCTTTCCGTAACAAAGTAAACCTTCACTCTTGTGTAACTTCTGACTAATTCAATCACTCGTTTGCATTTTAGTCCCATTTTATACCATTTCAGACTCTTCTATTGAAGTGACAAGAGTAATGTTTATCTTAAACAAATATGTGGACACACATACACAAACCACTCTACGACCTCCTGTGTAAAAGAAGAAACGAAACAAAAACCTCAACAGATTAAGGAGAATGAGTTATTCCCCTTAGAAACAGGAAATGTCTCACCTTACTGAGCCTTTAAGCAAATTAACAAAACTCTGCCCTAGCATCTTCTACCAATTCAGTGCCTCATGGCTCTGCTTCCTGTGTCAAAAGCTGTCCTCTCTCTTTCTTACTTCCATCATTAACTGATCCAGAGCTTGGTTGTGTGTTATTGAACAGAATTCTTCAGAAAACCCATGTAAGGAGGGAGATGGATCGCCTGCTTACTTAAGCAAGCTATAAAGATTATAACATTCAAGAGATGAATACAGAATATTTGGGGAATTAGATAAATAAAAGGCATGAAGCGCAGAAGACAGAATTATGAACATGATCTGTATAAAGCTGAAGACTATTTGATCTCACTGTGTGATACATATTGGTGTGTTGGGCAAGTGAGCAAAAGAATCTAGGTAGTACTATGGGTTTCCTCTCATTTCTCCTATTAAACAGTAAATTGCACCCTGTTATTTCTGAGAACTAAGGTGCTAATGGTGGGCACAAGACGGCAATTTTCCATTATCAACAAAATTACATTTTACAAAGTTCTTTGTACACTGAAATGTGTATTTCTACCTAAAAACTTGAATATGCCACAACTTTGATGATCACATTGCCAGTTGAAATAAATGGCATGGTACGCATTAGCAATCTAAAATTTGTCACAGGCAGGATGAACACAAGACTGATTACAATTACTCTTTATTAGCTACAGAAAGCAGAAAGTCCATTTATATATATATATATATATATATATATACACACACACATACATATATATAAAAGCATCTGTAAATCAGCTGTCTGTAACATTGCCATATATAAGAAGTCTGATTCTTGGCATGAACAATTCTGTCTGAAGAGTCCCCTCCTAGCACCTGCTTGCCTGCCAGCAATGATGCAAGGAGTAAATTAGTTCAAAGGGGATTCCTCACAAGGTAACTTATTCTACCCAAGATTAAATGCAGTGAATGTTTAAGTCACTTTAATATCTAGAGCTATGCATCAGTCTGTGTTAGTAACAAGTTTCAGCAAAGAGTAAGAAAAAAAGGAAAATCCACCTTATTATCAGATTTTAAAACCTGATGAACCTCTATTAAAACTTCAAGGACATTTCGTATGGAATATTGATGTCCCTAGCCACACCAGGGCAAGACAGGGCCAGACTTTACCATATCGAGTATCAGGAATTCCAGAGATTAGTGAACCCAGTTTCTATTGTTTTTTATTTATTACTATCCTAGAAACACTGTATTCATAAACACACAGAAATTTAATCAAGTTAGTTACAATCTATTACTGTATTAAAAGAATTTAGTAAAGCCATAAAGAAATATCATTTGCATACTGTTTAATCTTACTGGATATCAATATCCTCATTACTTAATTATGGCCTTACTCTCTTTTTTCCCCCAGTCTCATTTTTGTCATCCAGTTAATAGCATCAGTCCTCGGATATCTAGTTACAAAGCCAAATGCAGTTATCATTACTTTGACAACACATTTTTTTCGATAGCAGTAAGCAAACAACTCACACCTATGTACCTCTCAAACTTCATTTACTGCACACTGTTAATGTAATAATTACGATTTGTCTTACAAATCACACTATGGGACAGTGATGCTACTGATCCACATGCACTGAAGCTGCCACTGTCAAATAAATACAGTGATGAGCAAAGCAATTTTTGCTTAAAACAATTAAAATACGGTAATTTTAAGCCTAGACAAAACAAAGCTGGAAACTGTATAAACTAAGTCTCCATAAAACTTCCCTGTGTATTAGATATTTAAAATTTTTCGTCCTAAGCATAAGACACTGCCTTGAAATATCAACACTGAAAGTCAACATATCTAATTGTTCTGATACTGGTGGAAATTTTGAAACTGGAGAAGATGTATCTGAAACATGTCCTGGCATCTGCAGTCGTGAGAGCAAGAGGGAGACAGAGTGCTACCACCTCATTCATCAGAACCAGGCATCAGGATATCAGAATAGGAAATCAATACACCTCGTCATGGTAGAGTAGGAGAGAGTAGGAGCAAAAACAGGCCACAAGCACAGTGCATGAAGATGGCAGCCCTGCCTCACAGGGAGAGAAAAAGGTAGTTGTTGAGACAGGTCAAAAGAAAGAAGGTCTTGGGGAGCAGACAGAAAAGGCAAATATATTCAAAGGTAAGTGAGATTAGGACCTGGCATTATATCCTTTTCAAGTTTAGCACCCTCTAAAATCAGCTCAGAAAACGTTTTTCCCCTCAACTTCTATTACAGCTCTTTTAAAAACATGTTGCTTTCCATCTCTCTCCAGGAATTAGTTCGGCTTTCCCCCAATGCCGCATGCAATTCAACTGGATTTTCAAAAAACAAACCCAAATTCCATCTGTAATGAACTCGTCCAATTAAGACTGAAGCAAATGAAAGATTAATATCATCACTTCTTTTTTTTCTCCCTCAAAAATTATAGCATGTACTGAAAATGTGAAATATTTCTACCACCTAGAAACACATTTGCTCTGTCAACACATATCAATATGTATTGATTTAAGAATTATAACATGAAGAAAACATTAAATATTTTACAGGAACTGTGAAATGAAGAAGAGGGCTTTTATCGAGAAAAAAGATTTTGTAAAATCTGAATATACTTCTGGAAAATGTGACCTCATCTACTCTGTGGAACAGCAAAAATAATTACTTCATGAAACTAAAATTACATAGGAGAGTTAACCAAAAGGGTATGAGGCTCCTCAGCTCTGATGCACAGCACATAGACTAAACGTATTGCGTCATTCCTTAAGAAGAACATAGAGAAAAATAAGCATTATAAATAATTACATTTTAGACAAATATGACTTACAATTTCCAGCAAGTACTGGATCTCCTTAGAATAGTTTGGTGTCAATAACATGTAGCTTACTGTGCAGCAGCAAATCCTAGCAGAAAAGGGGTTGGACCCAACATCCACCACAAAGCCTTGGATGCCAAAAGAGCATCCAAGGTTCTCTCAGGAGCAGCCCTGCACAGGGCACATGCTTGCTATGCAACGTCCAGGGAGAATCAGGTATTCAAGAACAAGATCCAGAGAGGTCAGTTTCTGAGAACACAGGTGCTCAAGGCAGGAAGTACTGAGGACAACCATTCCCTCCTTAGCGAGTCAAGATGCCAGTCACCACTGGCTACCCTTTGGGATGAAGGTAACAGTGCCATCCAACAGTGCATGCACAGCCCACACATGCAGAAAATCATATTCAAGTCCTGCCCTCAACTCAGTGACACTGAAAAGGAAAAAGACCTGAAAATTCCATCTCTTGGCACTGGCAATCCACATTTCACTTTGTTAAAGTAGCAACTGGAATTCAACGTCTTCCCAGACAGCATGTCCACCTCAAAGCCACTCAGCTACTCCTACTCTCTGAATCTTTGAAATGCCACTGCACTAACTTTTGGCCCAAATGCTGAGCCACTGGAAACCACAGTGTCTGAGGTCATTCATGGATGTCATCTTTTACATTCCAAAAAACACAATAGCATAATTACCATACCACAAGTAGCATTGCTGTAAATAAGAGTAAACAATCCAGGCACCCAGTACTGAGCCTCATGGTCCCAAGATGTGAGTCAATAGCTCCTCACACATGAAAAAGGAGGGATCCAGTGAAGGTAGAAGAAGGGTTTTGCCATGCACTGTGGTCTCAGGCCTACAACTCTCTCCAACCCCTGTTCTCAGCATTGAACCCCTCATCAAAGGGTGTGGGATGATAGAGTTAAATCTAGAGGGGATTCACAATTTTAAGGTAAAAAGCAGCTACAACTCCCTGGATGGACTGAGGTCAACATGCTCCCCAGTACAACAATAAACATCTGCTCAGAGAAACAGAACAGAGTGTGGAATGAAGCGGAGACTATGTGGCCTCCCTCCATTCTAATCTCAGCATAATGGGAGAACACTGCAGTACTAAGACTGTACAGTACCTGTCTGATACGGGAGAATCAAGATGTTCTGCTGCTGAAGCCAACAACCGTGTTGAATCCTCTTCTCGAGTGCCAAACCACAACCACCCGCCCTCTCTCATTGGTACACCAATCAGAAATAAAAAGTATTTATGATAAGAGCCACTCTTATCATAAATAAGAGCCACATAAAGAAAATAGTATAAAAGTGTGTTGGGGATAAGTGGAAAGCGGGAAAAGACCTCCACCAAAACTGCTGGGATCAGTCAACAGGCTGAGTCCATCTTCTCCACCCCCAGAGGGATGCCTTGGGTGAGAAATATGCTCTACACGCGTTAAATGCTGCATTTAGGACTAGAACTTTTGCTTTTGCTTATCCCATAGCATATTATTTAGATTGCTTCGTATCAGAGCTTGTGCTTGCTTAATATGTGTATCAGTACATTGCTTTAAAACATATTTTTGCAGTAGACACAATCACCAACAACCTTCAAACCTTATTAATCTGCCGCAATTTGTATTAATAAGAAGTGTTATTCCGTAAACTGTTAAAGTGAGTCCTTGCAGTTGCTGGTGGCAGATAACACCTTGGCAGGACCCGCTGAGCGGTCCTGGCTGTGTTGAGTTCCCTCTTACAAGGGAGGTCAAAGTACCCTCTGATCTAGCTAAGCCGTTGGTGAAGGGTCTCCTTACGAGACACTGACAGACTATCGGACACCAAGGTCTCAACTTTCCTGGGCGACTGACGAGCAAAAATCTGAACTCCCACCCTTCACGTGACAAAGGGGTACTCAAGTGCCTCCAGAACAATAGCCTTTTCTTCCAGTAGGTCAGCGACCACCCAAGATGTTGGCAACTCAAAGGTAAATCCTCTGATACACATTAAAGCTAACTTTTTTTTGGTTGGCCTTTTGTTTATCTAGCTGAATTTCCTAATCCACTTCACCACTGAGAAAAAAAAAAAAAGGAGGGTCAACACCGGGGGGAAAACAGATTGGCCAGGACCGGGGCCAGACTGCTTCCTTCAGCAGCAGCCCTGGCTTAATATAATGGTGAGCCTACAGCAACAGCACACACCTTCAACAACTTCAAGACATGCATTATCCCTATTTTATACATAACAGGCGGGAACTATTTTCATATTATCTAAGTGCAAAACTCCTATCACCTTCCATAAGAGCACAATTGGACCAAATGTTGACAGTTAAACAAAAAAAAACATGACTTGAACATAAAAACTAGGAAAAAGTCTGCCAATGCATCATCTTCATATTTATGTTATTTCAGTTTTGCTGCAACAAACAGTACAAAAAAAACAGAGACTGTTCCTTTTTCAAGGAGACATTTCAAGCAGGCTGCATTCTGGAGTTGGTTCTGCTTGTCAGTATTTCTATAAAATTAAAGGGTAGGGTCACCCATCAGGGTAAAAAAAGTGCATTTTAAAACACATGCAAAAAATATGAGTTCTTTGATACTTTATGGTCAAACATCTGCTAAACTACTACTTTCCTTCAATTATGGGATTCTCAAAGCAACAATTATATCTATTTTCCTCAGAATTTGGGGGATATAATCACTACTACCAGAAATCAACACAGTCTCTCTATATATATCTTTATGTTTTGCCAGTGTTGGAACAAATGAGACAAGGACGTTGACTAAATATGGTAAATCTCCAGTTTGCCAGCACCCAGCACTTTCTAACATTCAATACTGTTTGTTACCTAGGAATCCGTTTCTTTGAGGTGGTGACCATTTTCAGTCTCTGCTGACTTCTGGAAATCCAGGTCACTCTGTGTTTCATGTTTCTTCTTCCCTGTCACTAAGACAGGCAGTAAAGTTACTCCCTCATTGTAAGGAGATCAAAGTAAGTGAAAACTTTCTTTTTGACCCAACACCTTCATATCTGGGAATACACTGAGAGGGAGAATGTTGGGGAGTTTCCCTCTTCAATAGAAAATCTAACCTTTTCTGTACCGTCCTTTTTTTGCTGTAAATCAGATGGAATCTGGAAACTTGACATCCTGGCATGTTGCCCAGTCATGAAGAAGAAAGTAGAATTTTATCCACAAGATCACAAGGTACTGAAAAGCCTTCTGCATATCATCCAACTGTTCCATATCTGAGCTAAAGTGGGAAAACCTCATAAAATCAAATAAATGAGGAAAGCTCTGCCCACATCCCAATAGGTTTTCAACCCCATAGGAATGGGTGAGATAGAAAACCTGCAGGAAGAGACACTGTTGGTATAATGAAGTCAGTTCTGGCTTGGACTTCAAGGCTAAAATACTGATACTGATACTATTTAGGTCTTCCTATTCCTGCACTGAAGGATTGCAGATTTTTTTCCACACTCACATGGTGTATGCAGAAATGGAAAGTAAGCAACCCCAGCATGCGCTCTGGCCATTGGGACACTCAGGAAACACTGGTTTGAATTTCCACGGACAGAAGGGAAAATAAACCCTGAATTTCAAGCATCCAAAACCAGGTTTCTAAATTGTTATTAGGCTATTGCCATGATAATGAAAAGCCCCTCAGAGTATTAGCTCTGAAGGGCTCTGCTGAGCTCCAGGAGGAGTTGAGGGCACCAAGGACCACCAAGTCCAGCACCAAGTTTTAAGTTTCTGCCAACAGGGTTTTCTCAGCTTATCAGGTCACAAGCCTGGGGAAAAATCATGGGAAGGGAGGAATACAGGACATAACCGAGAAAATGAGAAAACCAGAAATGGTCTCCTGTACCTCCTGCTGGGATGGGGGAGTCATCCTCTCTCATCTTAACCCCACCCCTCCACCTTAGAAGACAAGAAGTCCAGCCAGTGCTGTCCTCTGGTGCTAAGTAGGCATCACTAATGTCACAGAAGGGATCTGTTTGGACTATACAGAGTAAGTGGTTTGTAAACTGAGTGGTCTGAAACATATATTGATAGGAACACTGATTTAAAATATGCAATAAGTATCAGGTTAATACTAAACAACTTCAGGGATGATCTGCATAGTCCACTTTAGAGGCAGCTGTGAAGGAACCCAGGAGCCATCATAGAGCCAACATCTGATGGAGAGTCCTTGGCCTCTGCCAAAGCTCAGCACAGCAGCAGATCTCCCCAGTTTGATCTCATGCAGCAACAGCAGTTAAGTTGCACTATTCTGATTACCAGAACACTCACATTCCTGCAGCTTCTTGGCTAAAACAAGACATATCAGAACTGCTGATAGACTGTCACTGAGGGAAATTGTTCCAATATTTCTGATGGTATTTAGGGCGGCCTTCTATCCCTTTTTCTCAGGAATAAGGCACAGTGATAATCACTGGTTAGAGAAGAGGAAGCATTTCTGGGAACAAATATCTCAGAAGTGATAAGGCAGTGGTTTTAATGTGCAACTACACATTTTTTATTCCATGCTTGGGATGAGTGAGAGTTTTAGGACAGGCACTTTTCTGAGCAGCACACCTTCCAATGCTGCTGCCCAGAGAGACTGGTGATGAGCGGTTCTCACCAGAAATTTCTATCAGCCAGGTGGACAGCCCACAAATTGGAAGAATGAGAGCCAAGAGCTCACCAGGCACCAGCTACCCCACATAACCTTCTCAAGCACAAAAACCTGTCCCAGTTTGCACAGAACAAGATGAGACCAGCAGAAATCGTAACAGCCACAAACAGGAAATCAGAAGGTAAGTAATTTAATCAAAATTATTCCAAGTGTGAGAAACTGCCCTCTCTTTCATGAGAGATCTCACTGCCATGAAGTCTTCTAGCACCAACACGTACATCTCTTCAGAAACATGGTAGAACTCAGAGGAAAGTAAAAATGTCAGAAACAATAAATGTGGGCTTTTTAAACATTACTCATTATAAACCAGCACTGAATAACAGAATCTTATCTTTCAAGGCATTACCAGCCACAAGTACCAGCCTGACCATTCAGTTGCCAGTATAAGAACCTTATAGATGAAAAAGTAGGATACGATCAGCCTCTGTGAGCATTTTTAACATGTAAATTCAGTATCTCTCTAAAAGAAAAAAGGCAAACCTAGGAGTAAAACCAGGCAAGTGCAAATAACTACATGGCTAAGAAAGAGAAACAAAAAACAGACTTCTTGGGATGTGAAGATGTTTGCCAAGATTAAATTGCAGGTTATCTTGGAAGGTTCAGTAACACCTGCTCAACACCAAAAATGTCTTTTTAATTTTAGTTTCCTTTTTGGGAAGCTTGTAATAGGACTGGAAAGGATACAAAATAAGTTGTAGGCTTAAACTTTGCTGTAAATATTCTCCTATCAAAGCACTAAACCTTACACATATCATGGTACAAACAAATATTATTAATGGTTTTAGTTGTTTTGCATTTTAGGCATGTCTTTACCTCAATATAACATGAATACCTCAGACAAAATTTACAGTAGCAATTTTGCAAACCAAGTATGATTTATTTGAAACGTGTCTTAAATTATCCAGTTTTACTTGCATTTTGAAGAGCTATATAATTTTTCTAAACAAAACAACTTTTATATATTGTTTCATTTCAAACAGAAAGCTCACTATCACAAAAATTTACAATTCATAAAAAATTATGAGCATCATGTTATCTTTTATTTCCTAAACTAAATTTATTTTCTCATAAAGGAATATGAATGCTTTCGAAGTGGTCTAGGAATAAGTTTACTGGTTTTTATGGAAAGAAGTCACAGAAGAAGGTTATCATCTGGCCTTTAAATAAAAATCCTGAGAAAGCCCCACATCAGTATGTACAAAAAGAGAGACTTATAAATCATTTTCTTTGTAGGCAAGTTAATTTTGGGGGGCTCAAAAGACCAGAATTTTGCTGAGCCCAGCTAATGGTCATTCTTGTTCCTCAAGTAACATATCGTACATTATCAACTAAAAGGCAACACACAGTTCAACAACAGGTAAATGACAAAGACTTTCCAAGGTGAGCATGAGAGGGGGAATGGAAGGAAAGGACACAGAGATACCACTGGCCATACATAGCAAGGAGCTGGAACTTCCCAAGCTCAGCACAAGATACTCCTCCTTTTCCTGCTGTCTTGTTTTTTGCCCAAGTGAACAGCTGAGCTTGGCAAGATAGGGCATGGCAAGAAAAGAAGAAATCACATGTCAACTCAACACCCCACAGAAAACTTCTTTCCTATCAACCACAGTGGAGGATCGTGTGGTTCAGCAGTGTTAAACAAAAGAGTATAGATATAATGGAGAGTTCAGGAATCAATTCTAATTCTACAAGCCAGTTCATAAATACAAACTGCATCATTCACAACCATGCCATACAACAAAATCCCCCAGAAAAAACAGCATCTTGTTTTGCAGAACTGTTACAGCAGGAAGAAAACCACAAGG